GTGTTATTCGAACGAGCGGCCATGAAAAGGGGCGACGAGAAGTGCTGGTGGGTAGCCAAAGTAAAGGACAGACAAAAGTGGACAAGAGGAAAGACAAGGAGCGAGAGGAAAGCACAATCTTGGAGAATATGAAAGGGTGGAAAGGGGGAGAAGAGGAGAGACAAGAGGAAGAGAAGCAAAGATGAGTGGGAAGACGTGGGGCGAGCACAAGACCACTTGCCAGGAGGAAACGACACTGCCTACACTAGCAGCGCCACTAGCACTCACCTGAGATCTCACGAGTCTTCCCTCCACGTCGCCCAACTGCCTCTTGGAAACCTCCAGCAATGATTCCAACTTGCGGCACCTCACCTCCGCCATCTCCGGCACCTAAACCCTTAGGGAAGTTCGAGCGGGGTTGAAAGGGGAAATGAGGGGGGGGGGGGAGAGGGAGGGATGATGTAGAAAATTTTAAGGCACGAGCTATGAGCATCCAAAGTACGTGAAGATTGAGAGCTGACAGACATACGTGGGTGGGGAGAGATGGTGGAAATACGTCAAGCGAAGCAAAGATGAATAGTAGAGCAAGGTGGTGGGAAGGGGTGAGTGAACACACTGCCACTCTTGGCTGCAGGAGGAAACGACCCTGGCAAAACAGCAACACCACCGGCCTTCACCTGGATAGCAGCACCACGAGCCCTCTCCTCCGCCACTGCAGCAGCGAGCTATCCCCGAATATTGTCCAGCTGCCTCTTGGACTCTGCCACCAATGCTTGCAACTCGCCGCACAGCACCTCTGCCGCCTCCATCAGTTTCCTCTGAGGTAGGGAAGGTCGCACGCAGTTGAAAGGGAAACCAGAGGGGGCGATAATATTGAGAAATTCATGTTTCACAAAACATGCATCTAAAGTGGGGGAAGAATGAGAGTAAGTAGAACTTATCGAGGGAGGGTGAGACCATAGAAATATGTCAAACAAGGGAAGATGCTGGTTAACAAGCACCTGACACCATGAAGTCCTATCATGCTTCTAAATCACATGAGCCAAGCCAAGACATTGGCCAGGAAAAAGAAGCATGCTGAAGCCCTGCAAGATGGCCCAGTCAATCTCCACCCCTTAAATCTCACCTCCTTCTCGAGCAAGTCTCGCGCGTGCACCTCGGTGGACCCTGCAGCAGCAACCAATTGATCTCGCTCCATAATTGACTCCTTTCCCTCCTTCCTGTGAAAGTTTAACCGCACATGCAACCATTCAGCATTTCAGCATGCACATGCACGCACACACCCACATCCCCACATAAGCAAAACACACCCACACACATCAACACCCACCTTTATGTGCCCACACCCACAAACACCCACGCCCACGCACGTACATACCCACACACCCACACACAACCCCAAACACCCCAACACACACCAACATCCACCCACACACACCCACCCACCCCCACCCACCCATCATCACCCACCATCACCCACCCACCCACCCACCCACCCACCCACACCCACACACACGCCCATGCACATGCGCACACATACACACCCACCTTACACACACATACACACACACACACACACCCACACCCACCCACTCATCCATCCATACCTCCACACAACCGTGCACGCACAGGCACACACACACGTGCACGCACGCACGCATGCACGCACACACACTTGCGCATACTATATGAATCCATCCATATACACATCTTTTACAAACGAACAAGATGCGGCCTACCATGCAAATAGCTCGGACATGGTACATATGCAACGATGGCAAAGCTGTTGGCCATAACAATTTTAATCTCACCAACGTCCTCCCCCCTATTATGCAGTTGTAACCCCTAGCACAACAACTCCCTGGTCTACCTCGCACTCTCAAGTGCCTGCTGGAGCTTCTTCACTTCCTGCCCGTGGTCCAACCGCACCCTCCCCAACTCCTCCTGCATCCGTGCACGCAGAATGGTGGCATGGAAATGCACACGGGCAAGGCAAGGTGCACGTATGGGAGGGGTACGAAAAGGCAATTAGACATGTCCATCCAAGACGCGTTAAGAGACTCATACCAATCTCACATCGTCCATTGTAGCAAGGGGCAGGTAAGGGATGAGCACAATAAGAAAGGGGAATACATAAGGAAAGGTGTTATTCGAAGGAGGGGCCATGAAAAGGGGTGACGAGAAGTGCCAGTGAGTAGCCCAAGAAAAGGACAGACAAAAGTGGACAAGAGGGAAAGACAAGGAGCGAGAGGGAGGCATGATCTTGGAGAATACGAAAGGGTAGGCGAGAGAAAGAGAAGCAGAGATGAGTAATGGAGCAGAAGGGTGGGAAGGCGTGGGGGGAGCACATGATCATTCTTGGTTGGCAGGAGGAACCGACACTGCCAACACTAGTGCTCACCTGACTAGTCCCGATTTGTCCCTGCATTACACCCACCTTCCTCTTCGAATCCTCCAGTAATGATTTCAACTCAAGGCACCTCAGCTCCGCTGCCTCCGTCCGTCCCCTCTGGATTACAAAAGGTCGGGCGGGGTTGATAGGGAAAATAAGGAAGGGGGGGGGTGTAACGTTGAAAATTCAAGTCACAAGCTACAAGCATCCAAAGTGGGTGAGGATTGAGGGTTAAGTGATAGGGAGAGATGGTGGAAATAGGTCAAACAAGGGAAATTCTGGTGAGGGCACTTCATAAAACTACTAGACACCACGAGATAACATCGTGCTGCTAAGCCGACCCGAGGGGTCGGTTTTTGTCGGTCGGGTCGGGTCGGGTCGGGTCGGGTACCCGAGTGTCGGGTCGACCCTCTGCAAATGTCGACCCGACCCGTCAAAAAGTCAGGTTTGGGTCGGGTTACCCCGCCCGACCCGACCCGTTGCTCAAGCCTACTCGCACAACGTCCGTTCTAGTAAGGCGCACAATAAATTATGAGCATAGTAAAGGAGGAGAGTACGTAAACGTGATGGGGGGTGTTGTTCAAAGGAGATAGTGTCAAATAAAAAGGAACGCCCATCCAAAAAGCGTTAAGACTGATACCAATGGCACGGTCAAATGGAATACAATGAGGACGGGGAGTACTCTTGCAACAAAGAGAAGCCATCTTGAGAGGAAACAGTGAGGAAAGGAGGGAGTAAGGGAGCGAACGGGGAAAGAGGGAAGAGAACACAAAGGGCAAGAGGGTAAACACCCTCCTGTGCACTGGCTCGACTCTGTGTAGCATTATAATTACCATGGATGCCTATGCACAAGCATGGAGACAAATAAGCGTGCCTAAGTTGCCTAGGTTCCGAAGGACATATGAGTATGGTGGCAGTTCGTATAACGAAGCCGTGCCAAGCCAAGCCATCCCCAGCTCCAAACTGCAGCCGCCAATCTAAGTTGACAAAAATGCGTCAAAACGCTGAAACGCACCTTGGTTTTTTTTGGGCTGCCCGGAAAAAGAACACAAAAAAACCTGCGAAGTCGCGAATCGAAAACACATTTGCCGCGCGTCGCAAATCGACAACACATTTTGCGCGTCGCAGATTCGCGGAATATACCATAGTGACGCGTACACTCGTCAATCCTCCCTCCCTTTTCCCAACATGTTGGAAATCCCAACCCATTCCCCTGCTTGGTCCAGACCTATATGTAGAGGAGATCTTGACTCACCTTCCATGCACTGATGATCTACTCCTAGTCTTACGTTCTTCCTTCCATGTACCACCAGCTTCTGTGCTCTGCAGAAAATCTGGTCTGCAAAGGCAACCTCTCCAAGGCAGTTGGTCCCTTCAGTCCTCATTTCTGCCACCCACTCACAAAACAGTCACTATCCTTCAGGTGAAGCACCAGCAGGCATGTGGCCACATCGCTATCTCGCCGGGCTCCCACCCTCGCCACCAGCCCAAACAGAATTGGAGCAGATCTTTTAGGCACATGTTTTGAGCACCTGCATGACCCAGCCCTAAGCAAGAGAATAGTTTTTCTGCTGCTCCATCTCACCTTCACTCACCTAAACTGAGCCCAGCCACACGTAGTATCCTCCTTGAAGCACACCACCCGACGAAATCCTTGAGCCCACAAGAAATTTGAGCAATATGTCATTTACGCAAGCTAGCGAGCTTCTTCATGGCGATTCTACCCTTTTGTTTGCTACAGGGCAAGTCCATGCAAGTCCACACTGACACCATTGCCACTGCGACCATTGCCAATGCACCTCAGCAGCCTGTCCAGCCTATGGCAACGCCTTTTGGCTCGCTCCCCACTGCACTCCCAAAATTTATCCATGGCAAGACGGATGTTGAGACCTGGGTGACAACTGTGAATGAAATGCTGGCTCTCCACAACGTGCGCATCAACGCTCGTGTCACCGCCATCTCTGGTGCATTGGATAAGCACGCTAGCCAAACAATGTTTGCTAGCCGGAAGCAGATCGAGGCAAGTGGAAAGCTTTTCACTTGGGATGAGTTCTGCGCTGCAATGAAAGCGGCTTTCCTTGTCAAGACAACTGACTTGGAGGTGCATCGTCGACATCAAGTGCGGCGATCACTCAGTGCAGAAATATGCACAAGAGTTAGAGGGCGTTCTGCGACTGTTGGGTAAGAAACTGTCTGAGAATGAAGTTATGTATATCTTCTTCCAGAATTTGCCCAAGTCCTTGCAGGATAAGGATGTCGCAAATGGCCTCAACAAACGGAACACCTACAAGGAGCTCAAAGAGGCGGTTCAAGCTACGGACGAGACTGTTCGTATGCTAGCAACGCTTGCCACCGACCAGCCTGAGTTGAGGACTCAGGCGAATGGTGATGGTGGCAATGGTGGTGGCCAGTGGAATTCCAAGGGGAAGGGCCATGGGTATAAGAGGCCCTTCCACCAGAATGGTAACCAGCAGCGTCCTCCGGCTAAGAGAGCGAATGGTGGCGGTTACAAAGGGCCGTCAAGGGACTTCTCTAATGTCGTATGCCGAGGGTGTGGCCGCCGCGGTCACATGGAATTTCAGTGCCGCGATATGAATGTCATTAAGCATGGAGGTAAGCCTAAGGGCAACAACAATGGCGGCGAAGGACCTTCTAGCAGTAAGAAGGATTTTCAGAAGTCCAACTACACGGACACTCAGAACGAAGCTAAAGATGTCGTCAACCTTCCATCCCCAGACGGATGGGCAGACAGAGCAGACGAATCATACTCTTGAGAAGATGCTTCGTTCCTTCATTGGCCCAACTCATGATGATTGGGATGACTTGTTACCTGTGGCTGAGTTCGCAGTGAACAATTCTGTCCATGAAGGTACCCATGAAAAAGCCTTCATTCTGAACTATGGTCGGCATCCCACAACACCTGCTACGCATGGGATCAGTGGACTGCGAGTCCCTGCCGCAAAAGACTTTGTGGGCAAGCAGCAAGAAGTGCTAAAGTGTGCTCGCCGCTGGCTGCAACTGTCTCCGCAGCGTCAAATGTCTTATGCCGACATGAAACGCTGGGAATTCTCTTTTGAGGTTGGAGACAAGGTATTATTGAGCACGACGAACATTCGTCTCAAAATCCCTGGGGCACGAAAGCTGTTCCCTCGATGGATTGGGCCGTTCAAGGTGATCCAGCATGTTGGTGTGGTAGCTTACAAGCTGAAGTTACCCGATACATTGCAGATTCACAACGTCTTCCACGTGTCTCTGCTCAATAAGTACGTTGCTGAAGGCAAGTACTTACCTCCACTAACGATAGTCCTCGAAGAGGAACTTTTTTTTGAGGTCGAGTGTGTGCTCATGCACCGTGATCAACAGTGCAGCCGCAAGACAGTACGTGAGTTCCTTATTAAGTGGAAAGGCTATGGGCCTGAACACAACTCATGGGAGCCAGAGGAACATTTGACTGAAATTGCGGTACACGGATATCTGGAAGACCTGGCTCAACGAGTAGCCTCACAACCAGTGGATGGTGTTGACCGTGGTCGTAATGTGATTCGGCGTGCTCGCAGCACCCGTCCCCAGAAGCACTCTACGACAACGAGGACGTTGCCACTTAGAGGGGGAGGAGTGTAACGCTTGGCCTATGAACAGTGCGCGGGCCTACGAAACTGCCTTCCCAACGGCCTATTTCAAATTTGGGAAGAAGGGGTTGGGAGGGGAGTTTTGGGATTGGTCAAGATTGAACCAATCATATTGTACTTGTACATGTTGACTTGGCAAAATTTCCAACCCACGCAATGGATGGATTTGTGACTAATCAGAATTAGGGAGTTGGTTGGCAATGCCAACTCAACTCTAATATTCCTATGCTGTACACCAAATGCTAATATGAATACATTGGTTGGAAATCCAACCCTTTGCCACATAAACTAGCCCACCTCCTTGGAGCCATGGAGGAGGTGCAGCAGCTGTTGGGGGTCATTGGAAGGGGTCTGAGCTGAGAAGCTCATTCTCAACTTCCCACTCCAAGAAATCAATCATGAAATGGGATTTTTTCTCGAAGTCATGAGGCTCCCCTCACAAGCCTCCCTACACTAGTAGTTTTCTAGTGTGGTCTCCTAGAGGAAACTCTACCCAACCAGAGCCTCAACTACTATCCTCCAAGAGCCTTCCTCAAGCTTAAGCTACTTCTTAGAGGGGGTTCTTTCCTAAGTGCAACGCTAGGAGATCGCTAGTTAATTTTGTACTCCATTATTATATCCTAGGATCTTGGATGTTGATCTAAACTTCAACCCTTGTTTGTCCATGCTATAAGGGCAAGGGTTGTTATAGGTAGGGTAACCTTGTTTCAAATTGTTTGGTCTTGCCCCAAGCACTCTGCCCTATTCCGTGGTTGCATACGGCTATGCCCAACCCCGCTCTGTTGTGTTCTCCGCCAGACTTACTCCCCAGTGACCACCAGTCAGATCGAGAGGCCTGCTTGCAGGATCCCTTTCAAGTTCAGTCACTTCGATGTCTCAGGGCGGTGCCGAGGATGCTGTTTTGGACCTGCTGCAAAATCGTGTGGAGGAGATAAGTTCGAGGCTCCAAGCAGTAAGTTTGGGATTTTCTCGGTGTGGTCACTAATAGCATAAGGTTGTGGTCTAAATTGTTGTCAAGTTTGTTCTTACCAGGCTTTCATCATCTACATTCCCTTGATTGTGTTCTGCAGGAACCTGGCTGGTCATTCTTTTATCTCAACTCGGAGGGAACTGGCACAGAAACCACAGGAGGGGGAGATGGAGAGGGAACTGGGGAGAGATGGGGATGGGAGGAGGAGAAGGCCGGGGCTCGGGATGCTGTTTTGGACCAGCTGCAAAGGCATGTGGAGGAGAAGATATCGCCGTGGCTCCTAGCGGTAAGTTTGTGGGAGAAGATATGGGCGCAAGCCATCAGCTCTGACTGTGCAAGCCATCAGCTCTGGCTGCGCAAGCCATCAGCTCTGGCTGCGCAAGCCATCAGCTCTGGCTGCGCAAGCCATCAGCTCTGGCTGCGCAAGCCATCAGCTCTGGCTGCTGTGGCCCATCAGCTATGGCTGCACCGAGCCATGAGCGTTGGTTGCACGAGGCTATGGTTGTCAGGTTTGACCCTTCAGAAACTTCATTGTCTTCATCTCCCTGATTTCTTTTTCAGAATCCTGGCTGGGCGCACTTTCTTTCCAACACAGAAGGTTTTTCCACAGAAACGACAGGAGGAGGAAGTGGTGGTGATGAGATGTTCGAAGTGCGTGCCCAAGAGGAGGTGCCGGGAGGGGGGATGGCAGGAGGAGTGGGGGGAGGAGGAGAAGGCTGGGGAAGCGGGGAGATGGAGGAGGAGGGGGAGGAGGCGGGTGTGGCGGAGGTGCCACACAATGTGGAGAGGGGCGAATCTGTAGAGTGGGAATCTTCAGGGGGCTGAACCTGCAGGATGAGGAACCAGTAGCGAGGCGAACCCGCAGCCGGGCGAACCTGCAAGGGGGCGAATCCGTAGGGGGGGGAACCAGCAGGTGGTGGAACCCGGAGGAGGGGGAGGCTACCGGGAGGCGTACACTCAGAGGGGTGAACCTGCATAAGGGGGGTGGAACTTTGGGGAGAGAATGGAACTCGGGGGAGAGGGGATGGAACTCGGGGGAGAGGGGATGGAACTGGGGGGAGAGGGGATGGAACTCGGGGGAGAGGGGATGGAACTCGGGGGAGAGGGGATGGAACTCGGGGGAGAGGGGATGGAACTCGGGGGAGAGGGGATGGAACTCGGGGGAGAGGGGATGGAACTTGGGGGAGAGGGGATGGAACTTGGGGGAGAGGGGATGGCGAGATAGAGGAGGAGGAAGAGGTGGAACTGCTGGAGGTTATGGGGACGGGGAGGGTGACGGAGGGAGGGAGTGGGAGGGTGGATGAGGTGGAGGATGAAGAGGAAGAACACGTAGTGGAGGTGCAGGGCGAGGATATGGGCGAGGGGAGTGGCGAGGACGATGGAAGCAGGGAAGGAGAGAGTGGGGGGGAGAGCAGTCCTAGAGGAAAAGGAAGGAGGAGGAGTAAAAGGAAAGGGAAGGGTAGTGGGAAGGGTAAGAAGAGGAGGATAAGGGGAGAGGGTGGGGGAGTGGCAGGGCGATTAGGGAGGGTGAGATGGGGGAGAGAGTTCCCAAGCCAATGGAGGTTTGCTTCACGATTCAGAATAGGGAGGTTCGCTACATGATTCCGGAGGGGGAGGGGGGGGGGGGGGGGTTCACTACATAATTCAGGAAGGGGGAGGGGACGGGGAAGGAGAGGGGATAGGGGAGTGTGGAGGAGAGGGTAGAGGGGAGGGTAGAGAAGAAAGGGGGGGCAGAGGAGGTTTATGCAGCAACGTTTTCCCGTCACCAGACCCTCCTCATCACAGCATGGCCGAGAAGGCGACGGGTGTGAAGGGCGTCCAGGTGCGGGGGAGGGGGGTTGGTAAGACGGGGATTTATGGGGTGGGACAGAGGACGGACACACTCGAGCACTAAATACGACTTTGAGAGTTCCTTAAGAATCTACAGCCGGCCAATTTTGCACCGGAAGATCGCTGGAAGGCTAGACAGGCGCAGGAATTCCTGTATGTGATCCTCCGACGACGCCTTCCCATCGCACACGTGTTTGCGACGCCGAAGTAAGTGGCACACGCACTTCTACTGTGTGAGGACGATGTTGCTCATTTCATAGAGGAAGATTGGCGCAACCTGTTTGAGGAGTTGGGAAGGATTCGATGAAGTGGCAAGTTGGCAACTCATGCTGTTTGTTTCCAGTTGAGATTCCATTCAAGACTCTGAATGAAGAACAGTTGTTTGGGATGCCTGAAGGCGCTGGATGTGGGAAACATGATGGCCAAGCAGACCAAGTAGGGCACAGGGAGTTGAGGCAGTAGTGATGGAACATATGAAGTACTGCACCAATCAGCATGCCTACCTACTGCACTCTTCACTGATGTACTCGTAATACCACTACTACATGTTAAAATTATATATTGAGTTATATAATGTGTAGGCTTGGTAGATTAGATGTTACTGAACATTACTCTAGGGGGTACAACACCCCTCCTTTGTATCCCCCTCTCTTCTTTCCTAACTCTCTTTTCTCTCCTCAACTTTTCTCCTTCCTAAACCTCACGCCACTCCATGGCTCCTCCTAGCTAAACCTCATGCCTTTCCTAGCTTCCTAGCTAAGCTAGCCTTCTAACATGGTATCAGAGGAGTTCCTCCCTGCTGGACCGCCTCCTCACGCTTCCGCCGCGTACTCCTCACCCTCGTTCGCTCGCGCGGCCATGGCGGCCGCGTTTTGCTGCAGTGGCGGCATCGTGATGCCGCTGGCCGCGTCGTGCCGCGGCCGTCTCGACGCGCTGCCGTGGTGTCGGGCCGTCGTGCTGCCGTCGCAGCGTCGACGTCCCGCTGCGGCATCGACGCCGCTCTGTGACGGCGCCGTCGGGCCGCAGCCGACCGCGCGACGCCTGTGACGTCGCCACCGCCCGCACGCCAGCTGCCCTCCTTCCCCTGCGTCCCCTCCTCGCCACAGCCGACGCCTGGCGCGTGGGGGCCCCCATCGCCGTCGAGACTGGCCATGCCGCCGAAAGGGCGGGGGCCGCTGCAGTCGCCTCTGATGTTGAAGTCGCCGCCGCCGCCGCCGTTGCCGCAGGCCGTTGCCGCCGCACGCCGCCGCCGCTGCCGCTCTCGTCACTGTCGTGGTTGCCGTCATCACCTTCTAACACTACATACTGCATGCATTCATATCTTTCTGGCTTAGCCGTGTGGTTGAAAAGCAAGTTGTCAGGGCAGGACAGGATGAAGTGCCCAAGCAACAATCGACTCCACATCCTCTGGTCATTTGCCATGTGCTGAAATGACAATTCTAATATTTGATACGGTAATGATTTTTCCATCTAGGAATTCGCCCTAAAGCGGAGCGGAGAGCTGGATGAGGAAAAAGTAGTGCTGCAGGTGACTCCAGAACTGAGGGATTACTGGGGGACTGATGGGTGCGAGAGGCAAAGGAAGAGGAGCGCCGGCCTTGGAAGAGTCTTCGTACAGAAGATATTGCATCACCCTGTGATACGCACATAAGCCATAATGGATTTCAGATGACACACCATGCATGGCGCATGGCAGATGGTGCATGGCGCTTAGCCATGACAACGTGCAGGACAAAGCACGGGTCAAGAAACAAAGGAGGGAACAGCATGAGGGTTAGAGGACGCCAGACAACTACTTGACAAGTACGGTGGATGGCGATAGGCACGCGCCTGACAGATGCATCCGGCCTCCACCGTATGACTACTCACCTACACTGACCACCGTCGCCATGCCCTGACCATCCCTCCCACGACGGACCATCCAACCCACGCCTGACCATCTCCTGGCCACCAACCACCATGTTTCCCAGCATGGCCGGCAGCTGAGCCCCCAAGGAGCCCCCAACGAATGCCAATGCCGTACCTTGAAGGATGTCACCAGGTCGCATGTCTCCATCCCTCCAGGCAGCCAGTCGGCTGCCCCTTCGGCAGCGCCAT